AAAAAAAAAAAAAAAAAAAAAAAAAAAAAAAAAAAAAAAAAAAGTGAATTATAAGAACGTGCAGATAGAGATTGAACACCCTCTGTAATCAGTCTATTAGCATTGCCTCAGGGAACTGAGCAGACTGACATGGAACCAAGTGTTTCAGAATGGGAGACAGACCAGCATGGGACAACAAAACAGATTAGAAATGACCCAGATGTCAGAAGAGGACCCAGGACAGAACCCGGGCAGCTATCCCCTTGCAACTCACGGCAAAGAGTTAGTACTTGCAGCTGTATGTTCCATAACGTTTCCGTGAATAACAAATAAACATATATAAATATAAATGCAAACTCACACTAATTACAATTGTTACTTTTACAGAATCTCAGGTAAGGGACCATTTTTAGGTATTGTTAAAGAGAGGTATATGCAATGGGTCTTTAAAAAGTTCATGGAAAGATTCGTATTATCAGTCAATTCTATTTTCCATGAACTTTTTGAAGTATGCTTGTATTTGACAGAGAGATGAGAACTACCTTGGACAGAGAGTGAATTCCTGCGTGAATGGTTACATGAGCCGATTTATGCCCTTAACAGTTTTTCATTGCCTTTATACTGGAATTCCTTAGTATGACATATAAGGACTTTCATAATCTGAATACGTACCATTCACATCCTTTGCTTTAGGCACATCAAAATTCTCTTAGTTTCATGAATTTGTTGTGCTTTCTCTCCTGCTGCTTCTTTTTTTTATTTTATTTTATTTTATTTTATTTTATTTTATTTTTGTCTTTTGTCTTTTTTCCGTGTNTTTGAAAAAAAAAAAAAGTTGAATTTGTTCTTATTTTTCCCTTTTTCCTTTCTTTTTTTTTATTTCCCCCTGCATTTATTCTGCCTCCATGTGCCCTTTCTCAGTGGCCAGCTCCACTTCTAGAGAAGGGAAGGGAAGAGTGCTGTGGGTGGAGGAATGTCAGCTCACCTGACAGATTTCAAAATAGGAAAGACTTGAGAAGTTTTAGTATTGGATACTGAGTTGTGGGTTATTTAACTCTTAGACCATTCCCTTAGATCTAGGACTTCTGTTACATGTTTCTGGGTGCGTAATCCATGTATAAAGAGACTAGAAATAATCACCCAGCAAAATTCTGAAGATGGAGCAAAGGGACAAATTTGATGCCAGATGTTGCTGCCATGAGATGTTTGAAAGTGGGGGATGGAAACAAGCCCTGAGCAATGGATTTGGAATGGGAGGGGAGAGCTGACCGGGCAGCATTTATCCTGCAAGTAGCTGTTTTTCTTCTGAGCTACCTCAATCTTTCCAATCCAACTACCACAATCATTCCCTGGCAATTTCAGTGTCATTTTGAAGTGAAATTTTATAGCAGACTTTTACTAGAGTGGAGCTGAATTTTATGGTAGAGTAGAACTGAACTGTCTGCTTTCTGGAATTTGTTGTGTGTGGGTGCCAAATATAAAGAGGAATAGCCAGAGCTATAGAAATAGTTGAAATGTTTACTTCAAAAAGTGAATTACGGGCCGGCCCGGTGGCGCACTGGATAGTGCGCCGCTTGGGAAGCGCGGCGGCGCT